TAGATATATAATAAAATAAAAAATATAATTAGTTTCCCTTTATTGGCCGTCGCAGGGTTGATTGAAGAGAAAAAAAAAAATATATTTTTTTTCTTTTCTTTTTTTTTTATATTGTTTTTTGTCGAAAAACGAAGAAAAGGAAATATGCCTATACATTTTTTCGTTCACTATGAGTCCCCCCGTACGGTAACCCGTCCGAGGGTGTGGGGGTGCTGTGTAGGAAGGATTGGGGTCAGGGAACGGGAGTCGGGGTTGAGGGAGGGGTGGTCGGGGAGGATGGAGAAGGGGTGGGGAGTTGTGGTGAGGAATTGGAGGGTTGGGTTCATTGCGATGGATGGATGGATGGGTTGTGGTTTGGTTTGGTGGTTGTAGAGTATGAGATGCTTGGCATGTATATTGCGGATTATATATTGTGGATGGGATCACCTGACGGGTACGGCGAGGGTTGAAGGATCATTATCATTATCTGTCTTTTCTCTATAGGGCCATCATTAATATATATTCTGTTACAGACACCGCACCCCCGGTCCCACGGCACCAGTGTCGAACATCTCAATCAACCCAGCTCCCAGGGCTTCCTCCAGCACCCACCGGAAGCTCATCCCATACAAATCCTTCCATTTCTTGGTTCTCCCCGGCAGAATGCCCGCAAACTCGCCGCGGACTCGCTTCGCTACGCTGAAACTGCGGTCGGACTCGACAGCGCCATCCCAGCGGTCGCGGAGGAGGTCGAGAGGGACCTCGCTTGCGCTGGATCTTTGGAGAAGCGAGAGGAGATGCGCGCGGCCAGCGCCTAGCAGACGAAGGTAAGGCCCCGTGTTGGGAAGCGACAAGAACAGAGTTGCCGTGTGAAACTGTGAACGGAGATCCGCATCATGCGGCGGGTGGTGGGCGCGATCGCTCCGACTCGCCAAGTTGCCCGGCGAAGCGGTCGACTCGAAATTGGGCAGGGAGACAAGCCCCGAGGAGCCCTGCGACAGCGACGACGAGGATACGAGGAATCCGGCACGAACGAGAGCCATGTATTCTGGGGCAGCGAAGAGGGCGCCAGGGACGGCCGAGGTGTTCCCGAGCCGACTGAGGACGTCCAGAAATTTGTCTACACAGATCAGCATGACACACCAGGGAGCAGTTGTACGGAATGCAGGACCTACCCTTCAAAGACGGCTCCAACCCACTCTCTCGCACCAGTCTCTCCCAGTCCTCAGCCAAAACCAAGCAGTCGCCCAGGCCCGCCGCATCGTTGCCTCTCCCCGGCACCGTCAGCCGCCGAATCCGACCTGTGTTGATCAACTCCATGATTTCCTTCTCGACCTTGGTCGGGACGTTCAGCAGCGTGTGGACGTGGGCAACGGAGGCCAGCGGGGGCAGCGAGCGCCGCAGGTTCAGGACCTCCGCGATGCGGGTGCTGTTCATCCCGGCTCGTCGCGCAGGCAGCTCCTCGAACATGTTGTCGCGGATGTACGCGATAGCCTGTAGGACGTCCTGCACGGAAGACGTCTCCGGGATGTAATGCGACACGCCGATGTCGGGAAGAGGACCCAGGTCCTCATAGTCGGGGACATTTGGACTGCTCTTGGAACCGCCGCCTGGGGTGGCGGTCGGTTTGCGGCGAGGGTGACCGGCAAAGGGAGATGCACGGGGTCGGGAAGTCGCTGGGGCTTTACGTTTCTTGACACCGGAGACAGGAGCAGAGGTGATCCGGAGGGGCATGGCCAGACGGTAGAGAGAGATGGAGATGGATGGATATACCTACTTGGCGGGATGAAAGCCGATGAAAGAAGGCCTGAGGCGACGAGCGATAAGATAAGTCTCACGTGATGATACTGTATGGAAGGGAATCCGCCAATCAGAGCTCTCTGTGGTACATCAGATGCATAAGATTAAGTAAGCACGTACTTGAGGCATGCACAACGACATCCATGGATCAGGCATCAACACCCACCTTCAAGAATGTTCCTCAACAGCTCACTGGCTGGTTACTGTGCCGATCTGAAGAAATCACCGCTACTTAACTACTTCCTACTCCGTATAGTACGGAGTATAATCTAAATACTCTACAGTGGGGGCAAACTAACCGCATAAAGCAACCCACGGCGTCTCCGCGTGTACAAAGTACCTAGTACATCACTAACGGTCGAACAACACCGGTGTTGATCGCACTGTGATGTAGCCGGCGTTCGAGGGCTGAATAGAACACTCAGAGACCCATCCAGGTCCACGGGTGTTTTTACCGACCACCAGCAGCGATTCGTGCTGGCTCGACCCATATCAGGCGGTGCCATAAATCCCACCCGTTATTCACATGACGTAGTGATGAGAACGACTCGCTCGTTTTCCTTTTCTTGCCCGCTTCTTCGACCTTCTCTCTCTTCTTCCTCTTTCTTTCTCTCGCCTCTCTCCATCCTCCATCAGATACGCCCGGTATTTGATGCTGGAAAGTCCCGGACAACTCACATCATTCTCCCTGCGTTTTTTTGTTTTTCGCCGAGACCTCTCCGGGTAATGGGCTTGCAAGAATAGCTCCCATTTGTTTCCCCTCCGTGTTATTCTGGGATTGACTTTGGCTCTTTTATGTATTTTTCTTCTCTTACTTTCTGTCATCCTCGGTAGCCACCATGACCATCTATATTGCTTCATTGTATGTGGTTCTCCCCTCCATCTTTCCACAGACTGATTCTTCTCACACCATTCCTCCAGGTTCCTCCCGTATACCGCCAATTTCTATCTCCCCGAGTCCAGAAACCGTGTCCTTCGTCCATCTAATGCCTCCCCTCCATCGGAGGTCATCTCGGAATCCGTCAGCCCCGCGCCCACGGCATCCGTCAGTCTCTTCGAAAAAGGAAATACCAACGAGAAGGTCGGCCTCACTCCCGGCGCGACAACCGACCATGAACGGATCTTCTCGGCGGAGCTGTCCAAGGCTGAGAAGAATCGGACAGGCTACCCTTTTCCCGCCCAGGTCGATGACGTAGCGCTCCTCACCGAAAGTGAAGCGCATTCCCCCGCATGGGGTTCGACCTTGTCTCTCAACCAGCCTCGCCCGCGATCCGTTGTCCCGCCGTCTCCATCCATCCTCAAACACCAGGAGCCCGTCGTGGTCGAGACTGAAGCTCCCCGGGATAAGGTGCGCACGCTCCAGCCGCCTGGACCCATCCCGCTATACTTCAATAAACAGCGCCGAGATTCCTCCCGCAAGGCCTCGTTCTCCGGCGCCGAATGGACGATCGAGACCGCCGAGCAGGGCAATGGTGGGCTGCGCAATGCCGTGCGCTCCGCTGCAGACGCCGGACAATTGGAGGACCAAGTCTGGGTCGGCACGCTGGGCATGCCGACCGATGCCTTGTCCAACTACACTAAAATCGCCATTGCAGAGAAGCTGGAAGACGAGTATGGGTCGTTGACCGTCTACGTCAGTGATGGCGATTTCGATGGCCACTATACCCACTTCTGCAAAACCATCCTCTGGCCGGTTTTTCACTATCAGATCCCGGACAACCCCAAGAGCAAGGCCTATGAAGACCATTCGTGGGTTTACTACGTCAAAACCAATCAGGCCTTCGCCGAGCGGATTGCCCGCAATTGGAAGCGGGGGGACTCCATCTGGATCCAGGACTACCACCTGCTGCTAGTGCCCGCCATGCTGCGGAAACTGCTTCCTGACGCTCAGATCGGGTTTTTCCTGCATATTGCCTTCCCCTCGTCCGAGGTGTTCCGCTGCCTCGCGCCGCGGAAAGAGCTCCTTGAGGGGATGCTGGGGGCGAACCTGATCGGATTCCAGACGGAAGAGTACTGTCGCCACTTCCTCCAGACCTGTAGCCGCATTCTCTCCGTGGAGGCGACCAATGAAGGAGTCCAACTCGAAGATCGGTTCGTGAACGTACACAAATTCCCCATTGGCATTGATCCCACCTCATGGGACAAGCGGCGACAAGCGGCCGATGTGGAGGAATGGATCCAGACCATCTCCGAACGCTACGAAGGGAAACGACTGATTGTGTCTCGAGACAAGATTGACGGAGTGCGTGGTATCCGGCAGAAGCTGCTGAGCTACGAACTTTTCCTCAATACGTATCCTGAATGGAGGGATAAGGTGGTCTTGATCCAAGTCGCCACGAGCACCACCGAACAGCCGGAATTGGAGGCGACGATTTCGGATATCGCTATGCGGATCAACTCGGAATTTTCAACCCTTGCGCATCAGCCACTGGTATTTCTGAAGCAGGACCTCGCTTTCCCGCAATACCTGGCGCTGATTTCTGTTGCGGATGCTCTGATGATTACCAGTTTGCGCGAGGGAATGAACCTGACTAGCCATGAGTTTGTCTATTGTCAGGACGGGAAATACGGAAACAAGAAATATGGATCCCTTATCCTGAGCGAGTTCACCGGCAGTGCGTCCGTCTTTGGGAACCATGCTCTTCTGGTCAACCCGTGGAACTACCGACAGTGTGCGGAGGCGATCCATACGGCCCTCTCGCGGAGTGAGGAAGAGCGCAAGCAAGTGTGGATGGAGCTTCACCGAGCGGTGCTTCAGAATTCCACCTCCAACTGGGTCAAGTCGTTCAGTGAGACGCTGAGCCGGGTATGGAATGAGCAGTCCTCTCGGGAGATTATGGCGGTTCCACGGCTGTCGTTCAACAAGCTGCAACTCCACTATGGACAAGCGGCCCGGCGGTTGATCATCGTGGATTACGAAGGCACACTGGCTTCGTGGGGTTCCCCGAAGAGCATCATCGTCACCACACCCCAGCGGGCGATCACGGCGCTGACGGAACTGACCGACGATCCCCGGAATATCGTCTTCGTGATGAGCTCTCGGATGCCCGAGGAGATGGAGCGGCTGTTCCGGATGGTGGCCAACCTCGGACTCATTGCGGAGAACGGCTGCTTTGTGCGCGAGCCCGGCACGGAAGAATGGTTCAAGTTGACCAACAAAGAGCAGACGGACGCGTGGAAGGAGGCGGTTCAACAGATTTTGGAATACTATCAAGAGCGGTCCGAAGGTAGCTGGATTGAGCAGCGGCACTGTTCGCTCATGTTGCATTACGGATCGGCGGACGACCAGGCGGCGGCGTGCCGGTTGGCGGCCGAGGCAGCGGGCCATATCAACGACGCCTGCGCCAACCAAGGGGTGCACGCGGTGCTGGTGGATGGTGCCTTGGTAGTGGAACCGGGCGACACCAACAAGGCGTCGGCTGCGGCCATGGTCTGGCGGCACTGTCTGCAGCGGAGCGAGAAGGACTCATCGTACGGCCGGCCGGAGTTCCTCCTCGCCATTGGTGACGGGCGCGATGATGAGCCGGTGTTCCGGTGGGCGAACAAATTGGCGAGCGCGAACGCGGTAGAATACGCCATGACTGTGACGCTGGGCTCTCGCAGCACCGAGGCGAAGGCGACCCTGACGCAGGGAGTGACGGGTAAGTTGAGTAGGGGATGAGAAGCAAGATGAAGCCCTGACTAATAACATTACTAGGGGTCCTCTCCGTGTTGGAGCGACTGGCGGCGACGCAATAAGCAGATATTAGGCATTGTCGAGGGATTTGCGAATTATGAGCATACGATGGAGATAGGAGTTTGTTCGATATTGATTTGTTTAATGATAGCGGCACGATGGACAAAAAGAAGCATCTAGAGCATGATGTGATTAGATCTGTTGATAATGCATACGGAGTACAGAGCTACTATGGATCTCCTACCTAACTGGGTAATAGTTATTGTACATTCTGTTGACAGCGGTTAGTCAGCGTCTCGGTCCAACCGTTGGAGCAGCCGAGGCTCTTCTTCCCCTCATGCCAACCCCGAGGTCACAATGCTGCGGCTTCGCATTCCCTCTTTACTCCTTTCTCTACCCCGTCGATGAGGGTGAAAGCTTCTCTCGGATAGCAATATATCATTTACGGTCTACTGACAGCATGGCCAATTCCGCGTTTGAGGAGGCCATCCGCGTGACGCCGCTGGGCTCGCACCGCTACTCGGTGCATCTCCACAACGACTGGTGCGTTGGGACAGGTACGTATCTCGAGGTCTTTTCCGGGGCTTGACCCATCTACGAAGCAGACAATGAAGAAACTATCGCTGACAACTACAGTACCTCACGGCGGGTACTCGGCGGCGGTGCTGTATCAGCTGGCGATCACGCATTTCGCCCACACGCACCCGACCCGATACAGCGAGGCGGCGACGCCGATCTCGATGCAGCTGGTGTTTCTGCGGCGCACGGCAACCGGCCCCGCCGTGCTGACGGTGGAGGACACGAAGCTGGGGGCGCGGACGAGCACGATCCACGTGACGCTGTCGCAGCCCAGCGAGAAGAACCCGACGGGCCCCGCGGAGGCCAAGATCACGGGGTACATCACGGTGAGCCCGGCGTCGGCGGAGACAGGCCTGACGGCGGAGAGCGGGTGGACGCTGCAGCCAGCGGCGGTGGCTGGGTCGCGAGCGGACGGGACGGTGGACCTGGCGGCGCTGGAGCGGACGGGGCGCGACGGCGAGTGGGAGCGGCAGGCAGCGCCGTATGCGTCGTTCCGGCGCGTGACGCAGCAGGTCGAGCTGTACGGGCCGGCGGCGGGGCGTGGCACGCGGGGGGTGATTGATCAGTGGGCGCGGTTCACGCCGGGGGGCCGGCGCGATGCGCGGTGGACGAATGCAGCCGTGGCGTTTCTGATGGATATGTTTCCGATGGCGCTGGATGAGTTCGATGCGATGTCGTCGGCGGCGACGGAGGAGGAGACGCGCCACAAGCCCAAGTGGTATCCGACGGTGACGATGAACATTGACTTCAAGAAGCGGCTGCCGGCGGGCGGGGTGCCGTGGCTGTACAGCCGGGTGCACTCGAAGCGGGTGGTGAACGGACGGATGGATCTGGACGTGGTGGTGCTGGATGAGGCGGGCGACGTGGTGGCGCTGGGCTCGCAGGTGGGCTTGGTGGTGAGCGCGAGTCGGAACGTGGGGCGTCGCGAGTTGAAGATGTAGATGTACCGATGCATTTTATCTATATACAGCATAGAAGACAAGTCCCTATGTACAGATCTATCGAGTCGGCAATGGAGAGTCCGAGACTACAGGCTCGGCGTGGTGTGCAACCAGAACGCCATGGCATCGGTGGTTATGACCAGCTGGTCGGGGTCGTCGGGATCGGCCTGGAGGACCTGGGCGCGCGTCCAGAATTTGCGGCCGACGCGGCCGACGACCTTGGAGCGGATGATGGTAACGGCGGGGACACGGACGGGGCGCTTGTAGCGCACATCCAACTGAGCGGTGAACAAACCGCGCCGGGGGGAGGAGAAGCCCTCGGCGGTGACTTGACCACCAGGCGTCTCCGGCAGACGCAAGGCGACGGCGAGAGACATGGCATCGTCGAGACAGGCGGCGACTACGCCGCCATGGGCGGTGGCCGAGTGGCCGGCCATGCCGGGGGCCATGAGATGCCACAGGGTGTAGATGTCCGGGGGGTCGGTGGAGGGGAGCGAGGAGCGAGGGTCGGCGGTAGGCACGGGCCAGGGAGGCGGTGACGATGCGAGATGATCATCGCCGAGGGAGCGACGGCGGAGGGTGAGCAGATGCGAGATGGTGTCGGGGGTTGCGACGGTGCGGGAAAAGAAGCCGTCCTCGCCCGAGGCGGGTTTAGGGAGGCGTGACCAGGTATGGATAGGGTAGTAGTTGGGATCGTGCAAAAGCTGTCGGGCGTGTGGATTGGCGAAGAAGGGAGGATACTCGGCGGGAGACACAGGGAGGGCGACCACCATGACGGAGGTGGAGGGTTTCATGGTGAATGCACGGAGTATGGAGTAGATTGGAAGTATGGAGGATGAGATGAAGGGATTCAATTGAGGGTGAATAAATATAGGAGGAATTAGGCATAGGAATAGGACTGTATACTATACCTCCGCTATCGCATCAACAATTGTACTATACAATACCCACTATATAGTTATGAGAATAATAGAAGATAATATACCATTCGATTCTACAACTATACTCTCGATACTCTAGATAGATACAGATCCAATTGTCTGATATGATCACCCCAGAAACGAGTGAGACGGCGGGCGCATTCCATTCCCTGCTTCTAATCAAACTAACGCCGACTAGTTTAGGCAGGCATGTCCGTCGTACAGGGTCGCTCTTGCCAAATAAATAACGCTCTCCGCTCCTATATTTCTTCCCTTCCCTTTCCTTCTCTTCCTCTCTACAACTCCATCTTCCATACCCATACCCATACCCATACACCCATACTCACACCCACCCACACCCCATATCTCTCATCCTCTACATCTACATCATGCGTCCCTTTATCCTTCTCGCCTCCCTCGTGGCCTCCGTCACCGCCAGTAACTACACCTTTCCCGATGGCTTCGATCTGAACCAGGTCAAGCCCACCGATAAAGGTATTTTTCCTACTTCCATGTCCACTCCATATGCAGTCTATATACAAAGAATGTTCCGTGCTGATCATCTACAGCCGCCTGGTGTCTGGCGCAGCGCAATTCCTGCCCCAAGATCTGCGGTGGAGCCGCCTCGGCCAACACCTGTGATACGGTAAGGTCCCTTCGCTTGCCCACCGGAGAATCCCTCCACTGATCAATCCATAGCAAACGCTGCAATTCAGCTGCAAGTGCTCCAACGGCACCGAGGCCGATGTCTCGCCCTACCAGGAGACCATCCCCTTCTTTGTCTGCTACGCCAACTACGGCCAGTGCATCTCGCGCTCCACCACTCAGGACGAGGACGAGAAGTGCACCGAGGGTCGCGACCAGTGCGGCAAGCTGAACGCCTCGGATGCTTCGTCGTCCTCGTCGACCACCAGCTCGTCCGTGTCGCTGCCCACCGAGACCTCGTCCAGCTCCAGCGGTGAGAGTTCCGGTTCCAGCACCACGACCGGAAGCAGCGCGGCCGCCACGACCAGCAATGCCGCCATGCGCCTGGCCCAGGAGCACGCGACCGGCTTGATGGCGACGGTGCTCTTTGTGGGATTGCGCCTGGTGCTGTAGAGGATGGATAGTGATATGATGGAGGAGAATTGTGTTTTGCCGACGTTTCTGTAGCATTCATGCGTGTATTCCCTTATGATGACGAATTAATTCTGTTGATTTTTATGAGAAGTGTACTCGTTGCAATTGTAGTAGTAGCTGTAGTTGTACTCCGTAGTAGTATGATGGTACTTACCAATATGTACAGTACAACGACACCGCGCCAAGACTTTTTCCCACAAGAGAAAGAATTTCACCGCCCGCCATCCACACCCGCACTCGCTCATTTTCTTCATCTTCAATTCATCACCTCCTTCTCATCCACTCTCTCTCCCTCTCTCTCAACTTCTCCTCTCATCACATCATCATCTCCTACCATGCCCGCCCCCTCCACCACCCTCCTCATCGAGGGCTCCTTCTCCGAACTCGCCGACGAGTTCGCCCAGTACATCGATGCCCTGCGCAAGACCGAGCCCTCCCTCCAGGCCGAACTCTCCCCGCTCCTCGAGCCCCTCCGTCAACAGGAACAGTCCGACGCAGAGCCCGATCGCAAGCAACGGGATGAGGTCCTGAAGAAGTTGGTGTCGGCCGCGACTGTCCTCAATACGGCGCCGGAGAAGGGTAAGTGTCGACCCCGCGAGGAATCGGCATGACCCACGACAAAACTGACCAGATAGAAATCATCTCCGCCTACAACCTCCTGGTGCACCTCGTCCACCACGCCTCCGACCCGGACATGTTCCTGTCCCGCATCTGCTCCTACCTCGCCAAACCCATCACCTCCTCGCCGCAATTCGGCCCGTCTCTGGCCATCTCCATCCTGTCCACCATCTTCAACACCCTCCCCGCTACCGACTCCAGCCGCTACCATGTGCTCCTGGCCATCGTCGCCGTCATCCGTCAGTCGGCCCAGGGCGTCGCCTTCGAGGCCCTCAAGCCCCAATTGACCGCCCAGCTGCCCACCTGGCTCGCCGCCTGGGAGCTCGATGAGGACGAGGCCCAGCGCCTGCATCTGGCCATCGCCGACGCCGCCCAGGCCGCCGGCGACCAGGAGCTCGCCCAGACGCACGTCGTGCAGGCCCTGCAGACCATCCCCGCCGCCGATGCGTCCAAGAAGGAGGCCCGCGATCTGGCCGTGCGCGCCCTCACCTCCGCTCTCTCCCACCCGGCCGTCTTCGACTTCACGCCGCTGACCGCCTCCGACGCCGTCCAGGCCCTGCGCACCAGCGACAGCACCCTCTTCGAGCTTCTGGAGATCTTCACCGCCGACACGCTCGACGCCTACGAGGCCTTTGTGGCCGCCACGCCGCTCGCCTCCATCTCCGGCGGCGTGCTGGCCCCCGCCGCCGACGCGCTCCAGAACAAGATGCGGCTGCTGACGCTGGCCTCGCTGGCCGCGTCCACGCCCTCCCGCTCGCTGCCCTACGCCACCATCGCCAGCGCCCTGCGCGTGCCCGCCGAGGACGTCGAGAAGTGGGTCATCGACACCATCCGCGCCGGCCTCGTCGAGGGCAAGCTCTCGCAGCTGCGCTCCGAGTTCCTCGTCCACCGCGCCACCTACCGCGTCTTTGGCGAGAAGCAGTGGGCCGAGGTCCAGGGCCGTCTGATGGTCTGGCGCCGCAGCCTCGAGAACGTCCTGGGCGTCGTCCGCAGCGAGCGCGAGCGCTTCATCCGCGAAAACCTGCAGGCCGCCCAGGCCGCCGAGGAGGCCGCCCAGGGCAAGTCGGGAGACAAGAAGGGTGACCGTCGACAGCGTCGGGACCAGCCTCAACAGTCGCAGCCGGCCCCTGAGGCTGCGACCGCTGTTGCCGCAGAGTGAACGAAGGAGGATTGGATATGACACGCATTTACACCAGGCATCGGACGAAAAGTTTGTGTAATGTCAGGCTGGTGTTTTTTTCTATTTACTTATTTCCTGTATGTTTCTTTCACGTCTATGTTTGCAGTTTAAGGTTCTCTTTCCCCGGCGACATTGTTTATCGGTTCATGGTAGCTATTGGTTTAGACAAGGTTCCTTGGCCTGGCGAGTAGAGGCTTGGACCGAATGGACACGAGTCATGTCATGCATGTTGATGATTAGAGGCAACAAAAGAGGTCAATTCTATCTATTCAATATACGAAACATCCCAAGAAACAATCCAACATATGTAATGTAGATCACGCAGACGGCTGCACGCCCCGCGCCTGGAATCCCTCCCGAATGCGCGCATACACCTCGTCCACGGACCCCGTCGCCGACACAGACACAACCTTATCCTGGGCCGCGAACGCCTCGACAACCGGCATGCTGGTCTCGACAAACGTGCGGAACCGCTTCCGGATCGACTCGGCATTATCATCGTCGCGGCCGGAGGTCTCTCCGCGCTTCAGCAGCCGCTGCTCCATGACCTCCTCGGGACAGTCGAGGAAGAGGGTCAACTCGGACGGGCAGACGGTGTCCTCGAAGAAGACGGCCTGGTCGAGTTTGCGCGGGAAGCCGTCGATGAGGAAGCGGGCCTTGCCCTTGCCCTGTCCCTCGGTTTGCTTGAGGGCATCGGCCATGGCGTTGGACAGCAGCGCCACGGTGATCTCCATCGGCACGATCTTGCCCTCGCGGATGTACGTGCGGATCAGGTCGCCGTACTGGCTGCCCTCGCGGACCTGCTCGGCGCGCAGGAGGTCGCCCGCCGACAGGTGCACGAAGCCGTAGTCGCGGACTAGATTGGTCGACTGCGTGCCCTTGCCGCTGCCGGGGCCGCCCAGGAGGAAGACCACGGTCACTTGTTCGGGGGAGAAGCGCGGGTTCGTCATGGTGGTGGTAGTGGTGGGATTAGGCGTCGGTTTCGGGGGAGGGCTTGCGGACGCCTGTGCGGGATTTCACGAGGAGGGCGTAGGAACCGGAGCCGAGGGCGAAGATGGCGATGAAGGGGAGGATTTTGAACTGGGAGCGGTGGTATTGCGAGGAGGAAGAGGAGGAGGAAGAAGAAGAAGAAGACGACCGGTGAGGCGGGTGTTGTTGTCGGAGGTGATGGTGGGGTCGGAGCGATGATCGTGCGGCTCGGGGCAAATTCAGGAGGCGGGAGGGCTGGGCACCGCGGGAGAGGAACGACATGAGTGATGCTGTGGAAGAGAAGAGGAGAGAGAGAGAAGAGAAGAAGAAGAGAAGAGAAGGAGTTTATAGACGATCAGGAGAAGAGAAGAGAAGAGGCATTGCACGCATCGGGTTAGTCAGTCTGCAGACGGCGTATGATTACCGTCCCGTATTGTATCATATGTTCCTGGTATTGATGCCTCAGGCTGCAAATGCACCCCGATCTATACAACCACAATAGCATCAGGTCTACCTCATTGGGTCATTCTTTCCTCTCCCCATGACTCTCTCTCACCTCTCTTCCTTACACCTCTCCTCTTCCGTTCTACGTTCCCTCCCATCTCATTCACCATGAATCCCTCCACTCGAGGTCAGCGCGGCGCCTCACGCTACAGGCGTCGTCGAAATGCTTCAAACCGCAAAAAGATCGAGACCAATCCCACAGAGATCGAAAATCAGCCTCTTCAGGACGGAAGACCGGTTCGTACTCACACCTCTCCCCACGCTCGCGACTGACTTCTAGCAGCGTCAGGGTAGACAGCCGACAAAGCGCAAGCCGCAAAACGCATCCAGCGTAAGTAGGCTAGACCAGCTTCACTTCGACTTCACTGACTCTCCAGACGTCCAATACCCCCAAGGCCACTCAATCGTTCACCAACAAAAGACGCGATGTGAACAGCACATCTTCCACCCCGCTTCAGTGCAGCAGCCGCAACAGCACATCCACAGCACCCACCACCCCAAACCCACCCACCACAACCAAACGCCTACCCAACAGCCCCCCAAACCTCAAACCAGACGACAAGAAGTCCAAACCAAACACCATCGATGATCTCATCCCGCGCGCACTCCACCCAGCCAAACCAGCCGTCCCAGGCTTCCTGCGCCTCCCCTCCGAGATCCGCTGGCAGATCTACAGCCACCTATTCCCGCCGCGTCGAGTCGAGATCCTCCGCAAACGAGACACAACCGACCCGAGGCGCCAGAACCGCTACCGGCTGTACCACCGCGCCCGCCCGCCACGCCGGACACAGACACAGCAACCGCTCGCCCGGCCCATCGCCGGCGCCGCCCGCCCGCTCGCGCTCGCGCTGACCTGCCGCACGACCTACCGCGAGGCGATCCTGCAGTTGTACGCGACCACGCAGTTCGTGTTCACGGCGACGCGGGCGGTCGCGCGGTTCCTGGCTCGCACGACGCCCGCCGCCCAGGCCGCCATCCGCCACGTCGAGCTGGCCCACGTCATGTACAACGAGCCGCGGCTCAGCGAGTTCCGCCGCTTTAAGCACCGCAGCGACCTGGCCTTCTTTGACGTGTGCGCCGCCATGGCACAGACCTGGACCGCCCTGCGTGTGCTGCATGTCGAGCTTGCGGTCATGGACTGGCCGATCCGGCTGCAGGTGGGCGAGCGCTGGTCCTGGCCGCTTGCCGTGTTTGGTCAGTACGGCGAGGGCATGGAGTATGTCGAGATTCGGCTGCGGACGGGCCGCTTTGATGATGATAGACGCCGGGAGGTGGCGCGCGAGCTCGAGCAGAAGTTGATGAAGCCGGCTTGGTTCCAGAGACGCGAGGAGGAGCGGAGCAAGCAGAAGAAGAAGGCGAGGAAGGTTCTGAATTTGGTTTTCTAGATCATTTCGTTTGATGGTTCTCGTTCGACGGTAGTTTGTTTCCGTTGAATGTCTTGCAAGGTCGTTGGGTCAGCAGTCTTAGGTTCACTGCCTTAAAAGTTCTCTAATCAGAAAGTATCCTCGTGCATTCTGGACTGCGGTCTCTATGTAGGCGTGAGTACAGTACAGATTAGGAGTAGTCAATATGTACGTGAATCGTAGACAAATAAAAGAAGTAGGGTGAATAGGACAGGCCGAAGAGAAGAAAGACGCAACGCCGGAGGTGATGCAAGCATGCCAGGTTCCTCGCTAGACATTCCAATGATCCTGTCTAAAAAGGCAGGACTTACGACCGCTCCACCATCGGGTGGCCTTCCTCGGACGGGACTTCGAGGTATGCCTGCATACGACGACGACGGAGGTACCAATACGCGCCCGCCAGGAGCCCGCCCACGGAGCACAGAATGGAGACGGAGATGAGGAGGCCGCCGACGCCGCGGAGCACCTCGTAGGCCTTGTAGACGGCCTTGGCGGCCTCCTTGGCCTGGCTGTACTCGTCGACGGGGTCCTCGACGTCCTCGACCTCGGCCGCGGCGGTCTTCTTCCCGTACAGGATGGACGGGTCGTCGGGCGTGGGCTTGAGGTCGCCCTGGAAGCCGGCCAGGCGCCAGTTGCCGGGCGTCTCGGTGCGGTGCACGTTCGAGGTGCCCAGCACATTGCCGTCGCGGTCGACGGCCTCGACCGACACCCAGTCCAGGTAGCCGTCGGCGATGTACATGGTCTCGAAGTCGAGCTTGGTGGTGTTGCCGACGAAGACGGGGACGCCGTCGCGGGCCACGCGCGCGTAGAAGTTCCACGTCGCCACATCCGTGGCGCCGTTCCAGCTGACGTGGAAGATGGTCGTGAGGTCCGCCTCCTCGGTGCCGTAGACCGAGGCTACGACGTCCGGCGGCGTTAGCGGCCGCCCCACGAACGGAAACTTGTACGATCGGTAGGTGGAGAATCGTGTCGACGCGAAGCTGGCCTGCATGAGCACCTTGCCGTCGGGCGAGTGCTCGCTCTGGAAGCCGCGCTCGCTCCAGCCCACGAACACGTTGCCGTTGGGGAGCGTCTGCACGCTGCCGCGCAGCCGCGTGAGGCTGCCGTCAGGCCGGTTGTAGCGGTTGAGCAGCCGTGCGGTCATCGGCGAGGCGGTGGTGTTGAGCTCGACGAAGAGCGCGGCGGACGTGTCCTCGCCCTGCTCCAGCTCGTCCGAGGCGTTGTTGAGGAAGGAGATGACGGTGCGGTTCGCAGTGGATTCCACGAAGCGCGCGTGGTGCTGCTTGGAGAAGGTAAAGTCCATGATGAAATCGGAGGACTTGCCGCCCAGACGCCAGATGATGTGGCCATCGTCGCCGGAGATGAGGTAGATCGTGTTGGTGAACCGCGCCGACAGGAGGTAGTCGCCGGCGGCGTTCTTATCGATCGAGTTGACATGCACGTAGTCCCAGCCCGGTTCCCCGGCCGGGGGCGAGTTGGGTAACACCTTGACGGACTCATGGATGGGGATCTGACCCAGAGAGCTCCACTCGAACAGGACCTCCCCGGTGGCCGTGTCCATTTCCACGAACCCACCGGCGACGATCCAGCCGTATTCCTCGGGACGGCCAAGGTCACCCAGGTCGACGAACTCATTGCGATACGCACAGGCCAAGGCGGTCTTGCCCCCATCGAGGATGTTAAAGTCGTGCATGTTGAAAGAGCTGAGATCGTTGGTCACGCGAACCGCATTCTCCGGTTCGTAGTGTTGGTCCAGAATGTACCCAAGACCCTTGTCCTTGCCGTCATCGTGATAGGCGTGCTGCAGGATGAATGACAAGTGAGGCTGGTCGTCAATGTTGTGGACCGCCTTAAAATCGAAAACGTTGCGGTTATCGAACATGCAGGATCCAGCCCAGACGAGAGACTAATGGATGGAAGAGATATGTAAGTATGTCGTCTCGGTCTTTTTTTGGCATGTCGGAGCATTTTCTGTTCCTTCTGGACCGGGCATGCTCGGGGTCTACGCGGTAAGGAAGACAAAGACGTACGCCATCTGCATCATAGATGTATGGGCCGACTTGGCAGGGCTTCCATTGCTTCGTGGGAGCCTCTGGATCGATGACACCGTACGGCGCCACGAACCAATAGCCCGGGCTCACGGCTTCACGATCGTAGTAGGCGACATTGAATTTCAGGGCCCTCACTTCCGGGAGCTGGGTGGCAGCGGTTAGATCTGGGCGATGGGATCGAGGGCACAGTCACATCACACATACGGTAACAAAGGACATCAAATCATTATCGGGTTCTGCTTCGGCGAGAATACTCCGAAGGGAAAGAAACAACAAGACCCAGAAGAACATCATATTGAAAGAGCGGCTAGGAGGAAAATCTCCCAAGACAAGAACACGCAACCCAGACGCAGGACCGGGGGAAAAAAAAAAAAAAGGAGAGGAACTCTGCAGCGACGACACGGTCAATTAAGACGGCCGTGTTGGACAGAGGAATCAAGAGGGTATGTGATCTTCCAGTGAGAGGCCGCGTGGGGAATGGACATGGACAGGGAGCGAAACTTCATCCGTACGGAGACCGAGAACGGAACTATCGTGGAGGGATGCGTGCAATAGGAGCGGACAGGGCGAAAAGAAGGCCATGCACTAAAAGACTCCGCACCGGCAGCATCTCCATAAAATAGACCGATGTGACCAGTGACAACGCAAGTGGTGATATGGAAGCTGACGATCGAGAGCAACGGACAGTCTTGGCAATGTTTCGCCCAGTGGAGCGGCGGATCCCACAGGAACTCCCATGCCACAGGAAACGTTGGAGGCTTGCGCGGTCATGGGGATGGCGTCGTGGCTGGCGCCCAGTTTAGCGCCTGGTTAGGCTGGAAGAGGATTAGGAGATTATCTCCGAGGGCAGGCGTCGTACGTGGACTCGTGCGACTCTGTATCTGTACTTCTGGCCTTGTCGAGTCAGGAGGGCAAAAAAAACCCGGCAAATGAACGGGACACGACAGAGTGGACGGAACCAGCAATTCAGATCGGCCGATGGAGATAAGGACCAATTGACAGCATGCTCCAGCGTCTCTCCACGGGGCTTGGCAGTATTAGCGAAATGAGAGGCATTCTGGAATGGTGTCTGTACCCGCCAGTTGAGCGAACCGTGCCGCCTGGGGCATCTGGGCTTGATTTGTCCGTCACGAGAAGATTAATAGTGATCGTCAAGGCTTGTCATGATTTTATCTTCGCTCAAACCATCGGTCCTTGTTCTCCTGAATCTTGCCTTTTCCAACACGGGTTCGGTGGATGAGGGTGGAAGAAGATCATCAGGATTATCTGGTCATGGTCGCGGTGGGACGCTGATCAGGGACCAGCAGAGTCTGAATAGCGGTGGCAGATGTGGATGGAATACATGATGTAGAAGGAGATTCGGATAGAGATTGAGATAGTCGTCGGGAAAGGAGTATGCCGTCCAAGGATGGGGGGAGAGTTCCATGGATCTTTGTTGGGGCAGAAGATTGTATTCTCTAGAGAGAGACAGACGGATCACGTGACATCTACCAGGAACAGAGTTGCTGCTCGTATTTCAGTGGAGACATCATCCTCAAGGATTTACAGAGCACTGATAGTCCTCTCCTGATCCAGAGCTTTCCTGGAACAATATTCTTTCGAATTGGGCAGACATTGACTGACTTCCTCAAAGGTACAGATGGAACCAAAAGTCTCGGTATACTACATCAATCCCAGGTACGCAAATCAGGCCAGATTACTCCCTACTTTGCAGTAAAGCATGTTGATTATCTCTTCCAAACTACTACACACCTACGTACTACCCCTCAAAACCCCATCGCATACCCTACAATATTCGGTTCTTTGCTAGTCTTGGGCATGTACGCCAGTAGGTTCGCAGCGGCCACCAGCAACACCCCATGCGTTCCCAGGACATCAGCCACCCCTAATCCCGGAGCCAGAGCCTGCGCACAGACGGAGTCAAGATCCAGTCGCTCGATCTGGCCCGGTCCATCATGGTTGAAGGCATCGGCGGCCAGCTGCCACGCCAGGGGATTGTACAGCACACCCTCATGTGTGTAGACCCCTCCAGCGGTCTTGAACGGACAGATCGTCTGGAGATGATTGTTCGTCACACTGACCCCGCGGGAACTGTCCAGAATCGCCGACGCATTCGGCCCGCTCATGGGCTCCACGATCTCGTCAAAGGTGGAATAGATCGTAGTGGTCGGCACATAGGCGGAGTTTCCGTCGTCTTTCCGGATCGTCTGGATGAACTCGGTGTCCCACCCCTGCTGCCAGAGCGAGGGCGTGCACGCCAACGTCCCCAGTAGCGGACACGCAAGGTCGCGCACCACTGTCCCGTGGAAATCGGGGCTCATGGCGATGAAGTCATCCACCACGGCTCGTGTAGACGGCCAGTACTTCAACGCCCATTGGATGTTCAGGTTCCCCTGTGACCAGCCGAGCGCGGCTACATGGGACGACGAGAGGCCAGCGATGTAGTGAATGGCGTAGGCGACGTATTCGGCATTAAGTTGGGCATCGTTCAGCGAAGCCCTCGGGATGTTAATCCAAACGACGTCGGCGTTTGGCGCAGCAGCGCTGAACCTGGCAAAGTTAAAGCTGAACGTCGTTCCGGCCGGACAAGCCGTTCCGGGGACCAGGATCAGCGGCTTCTTGCCGTTCTTCCCGTAGGAGAATGAGCTCGGAATGTGGATCGCTGAACGGAGGTCATTCTCTGTGACAGAGTAAGGTGCGTCCCCGGCCGCTTTCCTCGGGTATATATTGAGATTGGGTGGCGCTGGGTTCTCGTTGTGGGCCGAGTTGAGACTCGAATTCAGATATCCATTCAGCAGTGAGAGGATGTCGGCGGGTATGAGTCCTGCTGCCGTGATGGCATTGGCCGCGGTGATGATATCCCACGGACCCTTGGCAAAGATGGCGTCAAGCTTGTGTTGTGTCGTTTGCAGTGTTATGTCCTTCGACGATGTCGAGGGGTCGATGGCGGTCAGGTTTGACACGATGGACGCAAGTGTACTGGAGAGACTTGGGTCCCCGAGAGAGACGTCGTTGACACCGTGAGAGAGTATTGTCATGAGATCCTCTCCGGGGGCAGGGGGCATGCTGTCTCGACGGACAGCAACCGCAGAGGCTCCGAAGATCGAAGCAGTGCCAACTACCAGGCATACAACGAGATGGGACTGAAACCGCATTTTGGAAGGCAAATCAATAGATTGTGAAGAGGTTGCAGTCGAATACAGCCATGCACGAAATGAGCTTCAAAGGAGAGGCGGAGGGCGTTTAAAAGTCCCCAAGACTGAGAATAAACCGGGATGGCGGCGGAGGATTTCTGATTTTTGAATGACACCCAAGGAGAGTCCAAGGGGCTAGGACACTCGAAAGTATAGGAGGGTGGAACAAGGTGGAAACTTATACAAGGCTTCATGTTGGCATGTGTTGGAGAAGCCTCGGTCTTACGGAGAGCTTGTTGTAGCTCACATTAGGCATAGCGATGACTGAGAAGGGTCCTTTCTTTTCTGGTAAGTCCGTTCCGGGGGATTATACGATGAATGCTGTTCGAGAACAACCATAGTATGCCATTGTATAGGGGTTTAGAGGGGCATCTTGCTGGCGCAAGCATATGGAGCACGGGAAACTGAGGAATCTGACGACGACATTGAATTTGGACTTGGGCGACGCCTGGATGTCGATCATCTGTGTCTTTGATTCCCCCGCACACGATCGACGTGCTTCACGACCAGCGGTGATGCTGGCTCCTAATGAGAATAGGTCGTACAGAGTGAAACGGTTCTGGTTATCGATCGGGCGAGTGACATGTCTTCGAATGCATTTCTAAGGCAACCAGACGAACTCGAATGGCAGGGTACCAACCTTATTCCCCTCGTACTTGGATTGTGGCCGACACGGACACCATATTGATCCCTGCGAAGGACCTGGAACCAATGGTGAGATGGCCAGAGGGCTGTATGTGTAGCAGACAGGGGCGCATGCTCATATAACGATGGGTTAGGCCGCAACCATCGAGATCTCTAATGGATCGCCAGGGGCGATTCGGCTCCCGACTGACATGTAGCGTACGGTTCCCCTCTGCACTATTTTTGCCAAGCGCATTGCAATTCATCGGTGGGAGTGAGTATAGGAAGAGAGTAGGACTGTCGGTGTATTACGCCTGGTTATGTGCTGAGATATGATCCGGTGGATTTGGATGTGTTTTGAGGCGTGAATGAAGCACGCACAGCTTCGCGCAACATCCGAAATTAGATCGAGATGTTTTTGAGCCTTCTGCCTAGTCCCAGTGAGTAGACTATTATGCCCATGCCCCGGCTCGATGAGGATGCTACTTCTCTCAGTCTTCCATCCGACATAGGCCAGTTCAAGACAACGGTGAAGAAGTTGATTAACGTTGAACCCTACTGTAGTTGCGATTTCGACTTCTGGCGTTTAGACACCGATACGCGGCTCACTATCAGGAAGGGGGAGTCAGGTGGAAATGTGTGTAGGACGATGAAACGGCTTCATCAGATCTGATGAACGGCAGGTCCGAGTGGGACTGATGAAAGCAATGGCAGTGCGGTGTTCGAGAAGACAGTGTGTGTGCATGTGTGACGTTGTGGACGATCAAGGGGTGAGGTTACAGGGAGGCCGTGGACGAGGAGTCTGTATACTGCAATTTGTTTGTTTCCTCCAGACTACTAGACAGAAGGTTGTCTCACCCAACGTCTCAGTCAAGGCCGCTTGGCCCACGTGGTGTGGTGCGGATCACGATGGGGCCGGACAAGAGAATTAATTGGAGGATGGATGGTTATGTAACGTGCAGACAATGGATTGTAGCAAACAGTAAGTTATGGAGTACAATAATCTGATCGATCATGTAACAGCCACATGACATGAGATGCGGAGGAAATGGCATGGCATGGCATGGAGAGAGGATGATTGTTAATCATAATGATGAGAATAATAATGGTGATGCATCTGAAACTGCTCCAAAGGGATGCGTCGTGTAACGTCCGGGGCCGAGTGTAACAGTTCCCGCCAGTCGGACTACCACCGTTGCACCCACCGTGTCACCCAGTCTAGAGGCGAGGTTAGTACCTACTATGTTTTGCCTCCACCATTATTGCATTGAGAAGTCTATTGAAGTGACTAGTACATTCTTGATATCATGTGCAGAATGTCAGCAATATCTGATCTATTACCTACATATCTACATTCACTGTTAATACTGCTGATTGTTTAGACAGGTGGTGTATTTACCCATCTTGTAGGTACCTACAGTACAGTACCTCGGGGTACCTAAGTGAAGACGGTGGAAATCATTACGTGATGTATTTTTAGAATGTAACTCTGCCTTTGGGGTGGATTCGCCCAGATTCGATGATGGAAGCACAACCAGATGGCGATGTTGATCTTGGGATACTGTCTTGACATTGATGACTTTGTTGATCCTTCGTCTGGTGATGCTCATGTAGGATGATTCTATCTATATCTACTATGTACTATAACTATATTCTACGCTGTAGGTGGATGATGGATGTCCCTACTCTAGCATGCGACCTTAATCGGTTCCACTGAATCTTACCGGTAATACAATACATGACCGACAACCCCCCCGACATTGAACCTCTCCTCGTCCATCATCCCCGTCCCATCACAACCCTGGATAGGTTCAGCTGTCAATTCCAGTGAAGAATGCCATCTTTAGATCTACTTCTATAGTTACTCTTTCTTGCAACTCTCCTATCCCCCACATCGTCATCATCCTCCAGCATCGTACACCGCCTTCAGGATTCGGTTCCAGCCGCAGGACACGCGTGCACCCATGGATGGGTGGTTGTGACGATACTACCACCACAGGGACTACCTACGATACTACTCCATCGGCTCGATCTTTTCGTGTTTGATCTCATAAGACTCTTTCT